TGAGATCAAAGACAACCCAGTTTCTGAAAACCCATCTGGAAAGCAAGCAAAACAATCAATCAAACAAGGGCAAAAACAAAAATCCCTAAATATTCAATTCTTTAGTTACTCAGTGAGAATAAAAAATTATAATCAGTTTAAACCAGAAAAGAACATTAATTAATATGGATGAAGACACAATTTTTTCATTTCACTGTAAACTCTTGGCCAAAATTACTGTATTTGAAAGGAGACAGGAAGAAGAGGGTTCAACTTCCCACTGTTTCTACTCTGCCTCTTCTACCCAGACACTGTTTAATTTGGGAACATTGCCTAACCTACAGCCCACCTGCCACATTCCATCAGAGCTCAGCTTTGTCTGCATTTTCTCCTCTGTATTCTATGTTGAGAGGTTAATGTATTCTTGTACCTCCTCTCTGGGCAACATGTCTGTATTTCAATAGGAGACTTCTAGAAATTATACATTTTACCAAAGGAATCCTTCAGGTGTGCATTTAGAGGAGCACACCAGACCACAGCAAAGTATCTCAGAAAAGGCTGATCTTCCTAAATCCTGCACACATCCCACTCAGATCTGCACTAGTGTTCTTAGAGTAGGGTTTCCCAATGCATTTGTGGCAAGGAATTTTTTGTTATATAGAGTGATGAATTTACTTGGTCAAACAAAAGTGTAAAATTATTTCACAGTGTTTTTTTTTTGGAGCGTCATAATGACTTTAACAGAGAAGAAACCCTAGGGAATTGTGAATTATGTAGTAAAGGACCAGGGATTTTTCCGTTCCTAAATTTCCAGGGTAGCCTATTAACATTTCATTGATGTTGGCAGAAGACATGAGATTCATGGGTCAGAGAGAAAGAACTTTATTACAGCATGACAACTAGACTCCTCCTTTGGCTCCCCTCACCTCCAAAGATCCAAAGGGAAATGCAGAGGGCAAAGAAGTGATGCTGTACCAGAAGCTAAGAAATTCACCTTTCAGTTTGGAGGATTCATTTGTTTTCTAGCAATCCTGCTCTTTCTCAGAAGGACACTTTATGTCATAACTCAAGGTCGTTTACTGCAAGATTGCTCATTGAAAATAAACCATAAGGGGAAATGGAAAGAATTACCGGGTGTTATGATGTTGGCACACCACGATGTTGGCAGAAATACATGACAATGTTCAGATCATAGAAGTCTTTCAGTAGAACAAAAACTACATTCATTTCCTTTAACCTATAAATTCCTAATATTCTTAAACAGATGATAACATCAGTGGAGCATATTTTGGGAGCAGTTGATTACTATTTGTTGACACTGTTGGATTCCATGTCATAGGGTAAGTCTATTATGGAATTGAGAGAGTAAAATACAAATGGGACTATTTCCACATGAGCCAGGACACATTTCCCCTCAAGATTTACCCTGATCTTGTGGGGGATTCTTCTGGAATTTTCTTTTTCTCTTTTCCACACTGGTTTCTTGCCATGCCTGAAGGTTTGGTGCCATGTCAATGTAATTAACAGTTTTATTTCCTTTATTTTCTGTTGAACTCTGATGATCCCCATTGTCTTGCTTATTGCCTCTTTACCCGAGTGTTTGCAGCCCAGATGCCACCCACTTCCTGACCTTTGCTAGAGGAGCTTCATTAGCAACTGCTTTAACCTCCTTTTTTTCCCCTTTCCCCCTTTCCCCCCCATGTTGCTTCTTTTCCATTGGCAAATTGTGCCATCGTGCAATGATGAAATAGCACAAGCTGGCCTTTGCAATATTGTGTTTATACTTCCAAACAAATACGACATTACATTTTCTTCCTTCCTTGTAGGCTTATGTAAACCAGGACATATCTTTTAACAATGAAAGTATTTTGAATGTTTCCACCATAAAAAACTCACAGTATATAGAGATGCCTGACTGTTATAAAAACAAACAACAGGTACACATATCAAAACATCACATGATATCCCAGAGTGCCTATAAATTTTGCTTCTTGCATATTGTTAAACGAATAAAACTTAAATATAAACATTTCACTATTACTTCACATGATATCTGGTGATTCTTGGGTTTTCCATGTAAAATATTTTACACATTGATACTGTGCTTAATTATAGTTGCAGTATGATACTCCCTTGAAATTAAGGATCTTGACATGTGTCTGCTCATCTTACACTTCTGTAACTTCTATGATAAATCATTAGTCATGAGTGAGCACTATATGAGGCTGAATCTTGTTTTCCTTGGTGTTGATCAATGTGGGTTTTCAGCTTTGTAGGCTTATACTCCAGAGTGCAATCCTTTAGCCTGACCCTTCTTTGTCATTTCTTCATTTGGATATTGGGCTCTGTGAAACTGCACAGCTGGTCTGGCTTGAGTAGCTTCACATTCCCATCCAAATGATAGAGCTGGCTGTACTGAGAGGCAACCATGCTAGCCACACAAAAGGTGGCTAAATGACCAGGGATTCCAAGTTTTTCTGAGTGTCTCATCAAGCACTAAGAGATACAGTCCTTGGATCTATCCAGGGGATGATGTTTTTTAATAGGACTCATGCTCTGGCCCCAAATCAAACAATCTTAGTTTTCAAGAAATTTTATTTTTGGAAGCAAGAGAAATTCAAAGAGCCTCAGGAATTTATGCTTTGATATTTTCACGGGAAGAATTATTTTTAGTTCTGATTTCTCCAAGCCTTCCTGCTCTCCCAGTCCTCAAAGACAGATGAGTTCTAGAAATAGGAAATTAGTCAAGAGGAGAAAGAACTTTCCAGGAGTATGTGAATTCTCTGCAGCTTTTAATTAGAATGGTTTAGTGCTACTCACTGCAAATAAATAAATAAATAAATAAATAAATAAGTGTTCTATGGTGTCAGTAGCTTGGGAGTGATAGATGAATTTCACAGAACTACTCTATGCTACTCAACAGATGTCAGTGCAGCAACCATGAGGGATATTGCCCTGTTTTCACTGGGCTTGCATTCTAATAGAGGGAACCAATAACAGTCCGCAAATAATACTATGTAATAATCCTGAGAACTAGGGAAAAAATGTAAGCAAGAAGAGTGATAGGAATTGGCAGGCAGATATAGATGACATGGTCAGAAAAGAGTCTACTGAGAAAATGATATTAGGATAGAAAATTTAAAGCAGGTGATGGAGGGATCACACAGAAGTCTGGAGGACGTGCTTTCTGAGAGGAAGTGGCAAGACAAAGGCCTTTGGGCAGGATTGTGCCTGATAATTTCAAGGAGAAGAGATACAGCTAACGGAGGCAATTAGAGGAAATCAGCAAGGAGGTTACAGTGGAGAGAGGTGGGGAGTGTGCAGGAAGAAAGTCAGAAATGTTAAGGTGATACAAGGTCCTTGTGAAGATACTGCATTCAGGCACATTTGTTCACACCTGTAGTCTCACCTCTTTGGAGTTAAAGGCAGTTTGGGCCAGGCTAGTCTGAGATTCACGGTGGGTCTCTGTCTTGAAAAGTAAAACAAAAACAAAAACAAAAACAAAAACAAAAACAAAAACAACAAAAAGAATGTTATGAGCCAGTGAGAACCCTCAGTGGGTAAAACACTTGCTCACAAACCTGATGACTTAAGTTTGATCTCCAGGACCTACAGTTCAGAATGAGAAAACTGATTCCTAAAGGTTTTCCTCTGATCTGCACCTGTGTCTCATACACCCATGCATATGCATACACACAAAAGGGTGACTGTGCTGGCCTTGTCTTATGTCCACTTGACACAAGCTAAAGACATCAAAGAGGAGGGAAACTCAGATGAGAAGATGCCTCCAGATGATGGGGCAAGCATGTAGGACATTTTGTTAATTAGTGATTGATGAGGGAGGACCCAACCCATTGTGGGTGAGTCCAGCCATGCTGGTGGTTCTGGGTTCTATATGAAAGCAGGTTGAGCAAGCCATGGGAAGGAAGCCAGTAAGTAGCACTCCTCCATGGCCTCTGCATCAGCTCCTGAATCCAGGTTCGTGCCTTGTTTGAGTTCCTGTCCTGATTTCTTCAATGATAGACTATAATGGGGAAGTATAGTAAGTTCAATAAACCCTTTCTCCCCAACTTGACATTTGGTCATTGTGTTTCATCACAGCAATAGAAACCCTAGTAAAGATAGGAAATAAATAAAAATGAAAAGGAATTATATACAAGAACATTTTCTGTACCTCTAGATTTTATAATATATCAAAGGGAAAAAAATACCAAGTAATCTTGTTGGGATAAATTATTAAAAACAGAAAGTGAAGGGCCATTTGAAATCATACATTGGGACTCTAAGCAGGGATAGTGTTCGTTTCGAAATGTAGTCATCACGTCATGAGTCAGGTAAATGGAGGTTAGGTACTGTGTATAGGATAGCAGTGAGCTGAAGCTGTAGCTGAAGCATAGCCAGCTGCACTAAGAATACACAGTCTTGCTATGGACAAACCAGTGATTGACAAGCAGGCTCATGATTAAAGCAAAGAACAAGAGGACTAATGTAGCAATGTGAAGCTGGGGAAATGGAGGGCAGCTATATTGCAAAAGGTATTGTAGGTTACATAAGAAAGCTATAGGGGCCAGAGATTACCAGTAGGGGGATTAATGATGTTTTTGAAAACTCTCTCTTGATGGGGAGTAAGGAGCCCATGGAGAGGAGCCAGGTGTGATTAAATGGAGTAGCTACCACCATCCTGTAATGGGCCAGGGCACAGGCAACATTGCTGGTAGCTTCGAGAATGGAGAGTTGTGGACACACCTGAGCCATTTAGGACCTAGAATAGAAGGCATTGTGTGGTTGACTGTACATGACATCACTATTGGGAGAAGCTAAAATAAGGAAATACCCAGGATGTCATTCATGTTTCTGGCTCAGTCCACTTGACCCATGGTCATGCCTTTGACACAACACATCAGAAAACCAAGTCAGAAGTGGCTTGGGTCACTCAGAGCCTGCTATAGATTTAACCTCAAAGAAATACTTCTTGAATTATCTTTTTCTGTACTCTCTCCACCAAATGAAAAAATTAGAGATAATCCAATCATACTTTTAATCTTCACGCTTTAACAGAGGAATGGTATTTCCAGGCAACAGTCCCTACAGATCTGTGTCCGTGTTTGGAGCTTGGTGATTTCACACACCAGCCTGAAAGGCACAGGCAGGCTTTTCTAAAGCTGAGCACGTGGCGCCATCTTCGGGACAGTTTGGCAAAGCCTTCTAAAGCAAGCTGACTGCAAGCCTGTCTGCCACATTTGAACAGTTTCTACCTAGAGACTGACTCCATCTTGTCGGGTAATTAAGCTGGGAACAATGTTTCTCTCAAGTCCATTTGTGTAAGCAGAACCTTTGTCTTCACAAGAACTGAATTTTAAAACAGAATACAGGAAGCGATGCAGGCAGATTCTCCTTCAAAATCATTCCAGCTCAGTGTCTGCAATTTGAAAAACAAAACTGCATGTGAGGAAAAACTGCATGAGGAAATTAAGGCATCATGGCTGCAGGTTTTCAGCCTTCTTGCTCAGCTGCTATGCAGCTGTCTGGCTTCTTATTCAGGAGGGTTTTTTTTTTTTCTGCTTTAAATAGTAGCCAAATAGAACCTAACTCACACAACAGAATGATTTACAACTGTTAAAATATAAACATTAGAAAAAAAGTCATTTGTCTGATTTTTACCCTCAAAAATTTGGTTTAGAATATGTAATCTCATAATTGGATCTTGTTTAAAATCCTGATTTTGCTAAGCTAAGCAGATGACAGCTTCTCAGCAATTACTTGCCATAAGAAAGTCCTGAGATTCAAATTATAATGGTGAGGTTGGCTGTTTGGCCTTCCAAATACCCAGGTAAAATTCATAGTGTACATTTAGGCTGAATATCTGGACCAAGTCAAAGTTCTATGTCTCCATCAGAAAGAAAAAAATGCATTAACTTTTGTAAATCATTTAACACTAATGCTTCTCTAAAATTTAGGGACAAGTATTCTTTCTGTCCTAAAAAGCGAGAAGAATATGAGACCTCTTTGAAGTTCCATCTAAGCTTCCTTTTTTTTTTGAATGAGTAAAATGTCTATTCTTGGCACATACATAGGAAAAGTATTCCTGAAGATGCAGACTTAGATGTTAGAGTACTGTCATTTCAAACAAAGACTGTGCCCAAGAGTTAGTTAGGGGAAAGTTCAAACATCAATTTATAATATTACTGTGGGGGTTGAATAAGAATGGCCCCAGAGGCTCTTATAGGTATGGCCTTGTTGAGTAGTTGCGCCCTTGTTGGAGGAAGTTTGTCACTGGGAGTGGGCTTTGAGTGCACTTTCAAAAGTGCAGCCCAGTCTCTCCCACTCCTTCCCTCCCCTGGTTCCCTTTTCTCCCTGTCCTCTGCTTATGGATCACTCCTGTGTGCTGCCATGCTCTCTGAAGTGATGATAATGGACTGAGCCTTTGAAACTGTACACAGGCCCCAATTAAATATTTTCTTTTATAACAATTGCCTTGGTCATGGTATCTCTTCACAGCAATAGAACAGTGACTAAGATAACTACCTACAGACTTTTGTTCTGATATAATTTGATTATTAAAGAAATCCACAATAAATTTACATGCCTTAAATTATACGGGAATTAGTGAAATCACATACTTTTAGCTACTTGGAATTAAATTTGGCATTTCTCTCTAGCAATGTAATGCAGAGCGTCCCCAGGCACACACACAAGAGGTCAAGACACACTCAGAGCTTAATGTAAAATGTTTTGCAGTAACTGGATATTGGTGGTAAACACCTTTAATCCCAACACTTGTCGGGGGTGGACAGAGGCAGGTGGATCTCTGTGAGTTCAAGGGCACCCTGACCTATAGAGAGAGTTCCGGGACAGCTAGGATTGTTATATAGAGAAACCTTGTCTCCGGAAAAAAAGAAGTTTCCAGTCAGGCATTCACTGTCCTGGTACCCCTGGCTCAGAGGCCACCTGCAGATCAGGAGTGAGAAGCCCACACTTTCTGCTCTGTACTGGTTAGGAAGTGGACCCTGGATCAGGACATCTTAGTTCAAAGCTGAGCTATCTCTCACCTCTGCTGTGTGAGCTTCACAGATTACTTTTTGATTTTGCATTAATCCCCTCATTTTTTAAATAATGAGGATAAAATAATTCCAGTTACCTGGTTACTGGGCATTACCAAAAAGAAAATAACATGAAACAATCAGCTTAGCACCTGGCATTAATAAGCACTTGATAGCCTCTCACTTCATGACGATGTTTTCTGAAATACTTTTCAATTATACATGAAATTATTGTTAAAAAATAGGCAACTTTGCAAGGGAGCTCCCAATTAACAAAGCATAGAATAGTTACCATTGGATCAAAATTGAAGTGACTAGTTACATTGAAAATGGTAAATTGATCACTAAGGTTATATGGCTACTTCCTTGGAAGCAGAGTGTCTGGATCTGCAAACTAGGACATTTCATTGGTGAGTGATCAAGGATTCTTTCAAAAAGAACACAAGACAAAATGCAGCTAAGAGCTCTAGGCAAATGCTTTGCATGCAGTTGGATACTGCCTGTCAGTTAAGGTCTACCTTGTGAAAAAAAATATATACTCTATTTTTATTATATACCTAGAAGTTATAGAAAGTAAATTTTAAAATATTTAAAATGCTGAGACTCGGGTGGCAAAGCGATGGCCTTGCATGCATGAATCCTTAGATTAGATCTCCAACACCACACTTTACAAAGGTGAAAAGGTTTCTTTCCTATAGTCAGGGGATTCTAAAAGGAATGTATCAAAATGCTTTCTGACTTCTGACAGATGCTTTCAGCACCAGGTTGAGCAGCTGTGGAGGGTATAACTACAACGGCAAGGTCTAAATTTAGATTTTATAGTTCTTGTGTGACTTTAGCAAAGTTGCCAGTTGTTCTAATTCTTGGTTTCTCATCTACACAGTAGAGATACTAATAATGTCTATGGCCTAGTTTGTGATAAGGGTCACAGATTTTTGTCTGTGTAAAGTACACAGCTCTTCGTGTATACTTAAATAATAAGTGATGTTAATAATGCTACAAAGAATTCACTTTTAATCATTCATAAATTATACATCACTTTAAAGAGGCTTAGATACTACCTACATCCAGAGATCCTGCTATGAGGGGTAGGCCTTATATTTGAAAATGGCAGTCAGGAATGAATGAAGAATCAAGTGTCCTTGTCTGTGGAGCTGAAGAAGCTCACTGCATGGAAATCCCTGTGGCTCTTAAGGAAAGAAGGTCACAGTTTTGTGGTCTTAACAGAGACAAAGTTGAAGGGAAAAAGAACTCAGAAATGTAATGGAGGGGTAATGAATAAAATAAAAGGTAATGTTTCCATTGCTGGAAAAGAGCCATAAATGGTAGATGGAAAAATAATGAAATAAGTGGTTATGGATGCCACATGATTTCCATTGAAATTGTGTCAGTGTTAATGTTACAAGTCGCAAACTCTGAGACACAAGTGACATCACACAAAGGAAGTATTTCCTGTTTATGTTGCAGGTCAGTACAGTGGTTTCTGGTCAAGCTTCTCACTTCTCTCTGGTTTTCACTTATAGATATTGCTATGTAGAACCCACAGACCTTCAATATCCTGGAATATTGGGGGTAATAGGCTCCTACAGGACCCAGACATGAAAGTGCTTACCATTTGTCAGATTGTTGCCCAGTCAGAACCTAATGTTACAACTTTATCCACAGTCATCTGTATGAAGAAGAGAAAAGATACAGGTTTTGAAGCACAATGTAGCCTCTGCCTCAGACATTGCTATACAAAATAACTATACTGTTTTTCTTAATGTAAACCAATACAAATTCATAATCTATCCAGAAACAAGAAAAAAGGGGATTGCATCTGGAAATCTGGGGATAAATGCACTGACTCTATCTCAAAATACAGATTACAATATGTGAGTTAACTTTTAAGCATCATAGATTTGCAGCAATAATAACCAGGGCTGAGTTATTAATTTGCATGAGGAGCCATGCTAAAAGACCACTGCACACTGCCCAGTTTACTTAGGATATGGAACTGAATGTGGGATTGAGATAATCCAGCACAGCACTGGGAAACTGAGGAAAGAAGATCATTGTGAGTTCAAGACAGCATGGGCTAAATTAGAGGGAGACCCTATCTTAAAGAACCATGTAGGGAGATTTTTCCTGTCCTGACCCAAATACCCAGCATCCCCTTCCCAAATACCTACAGCTACTTCCTAGATAATTGACTTGGGAGACTTAATATAAATTATAAGTGCTTGGTCAATAGCTCAGGCTTGTTATTAGCTAACTCTTACATTTTAAATTAACCCATATTCCTTATTTATGCTCTGCCACATGTCAGTACCTTTATTAGCATGGAAGGTTCATGGCTGGCTACTCCCCTGATTCCACCCTTCTTCCTCCCAGAATCCTCTGTGTCTGGCTGTCCCATCTACACTTCATGCATGGCGACTGGCCTGTCAGCTTTTTATTAAACAATGAATGTAATACATAGTCACAGTGTACAAAAAGATTTTTCCACATAGAACCCAACTCCTAAACTGAAAAATCTCAGTTGCCTAAGGTCATAGAGATAGGAAGTGAAAGAGCAAAGGCTCATAAAGTGGGAAATTACCAATACGGAGCCAGGTAGAAATACAAGGGAATTTAATAGGGAAAAGCCTTACTTACAGAGCGACCTAGCCAGCCAGAGCGGCAGCAGTCTGCACAGCAAGCCGAAAAGGTGAAACCGAAAGTGCCCAGCCACCTGACCGCCTCTCACTCTACATCACCTAAGTAGGTGTGGCTACAGCTTCCCCTACAGGCTCAGACATGGGTTTGACTCCAAAAGTCATTAGAATATATGACCTCCAGTGGCTGTTTTTCAACTCGGAGTTTCTTCACATACTTATTTGAAATGGTGTTGTGTGTATTGCTGAAAATTTTTGGTGTGTATGTTAATTAATAAGTTACAATATTTTGTGTAACAAACCTTCTCAAAGTCAGAGTTTAAGGTAAGAATAATGTGTCATTTTTCAAGAGTCTGTAGGTTGACTGGATGGCATTCTACTTTGATCACTATTAGCTCATATCACTCATGAAGTGATTGGAGCAGTCAAGGCCTCTTCTCAGAATCCTAAATGCTTGGTTGCATCAGCCACATTCCTTCTCTGATTTTCTCCCTTTTAGGACATCTCATTATAGCCCTTTTTAAAAGAACAACATGGTCTTCCTTATTGCATAGTGTCATCTTGCAGCATGGAAAAAATGAATGTGGGCCCAGAGTTGGCTTCACATCACTTCTGATACATTATATCGGCCAAAGAAGTTACGGGGCTATCCCATAGCAAAAGATTAAGAATGGAGACTTCACTTTTTAGTGAAAGAAGAGGCAGAGAAGATGTTGCCACTCCTTTATCCACTATGTAACAGTTTTTGTGTGTGTGTGAATGGTGTCACCATTCCACAAAATTCCTCCAGATAGGCTGTGGGCCTCACAACCTTGGTGTCACAACTGGTTCTTAGACTTGGCAATGAGAAAGCCATAACCTATAAAATTTAGTGGGAGAAAAAGTAACCTGACATGCTATTAAGGTTCCCATTGTGAAATTTGGTAAACTGTTTACAACCATTCCTTTACAGAATAAATAAAGGAACGCCTCTTCATGTCTCTATGGCATCTCTGGATCTGTGCTTATTAGCTTCAGAGGCTCACCAACCTGTTTGGGCTAAACAAGGAGCTTTACTGTGTTTTTGTCTGAAAACCATGGTGTGTGATACATTTGAAATTTAGAGAAAATGACACATAAACATTTAAAAATGAATTAGTCCCAATGGAAAGACTCTACTATAAAAGATCTCTGTCCATTTTTTTTTTTTTGCTGACCAACTCTAATGAAATTCTGAAATTAGCCCAGAATTAAAATGTATCTTACCCCTCTAAATAAGATTTTTGAAGCATAGATAGTTATATATCTCACTTTAGGCACAAGAAATTAGACTATGCAGTCTAACAGCAGCCCTAAATTTGTAACTGCTTTATAAAAGACTTTTAGGTGTGCACACACAGGAATGTACATGCATATAAGCCAATATTAGGACACACGATAAAAGAATGCAACTGTATAAGTATAAAACAATAAAGCTGAATAGAAAAAAGCAATTGGGTAAACTTCTCAGTCCAAGAAGGTAAGACTCTCAGGGAATTGAAACAGATTTGATAAGCTTACCTGCCTTATTTGCACTTCATATTTTGAACCATGAACTCACTTATGCTCTGTTGTACTACAAGTAAGACCTTTCTATTCTGTTAAGGCCTCTTTCTTTGCTGAAATCCCTATAAAGAGATAATGACAAAAATTTATGAGGGTTAGATACAAAGGCAAAGGCCTGGGGCATATTGTTGGGAAGATAAAGACTGTTCATTTGGGAGCTATCTGTTTTTTTATTACCTGAGAAAAGATGGAGTGGTAATTGACATGTGGTTCTTGACAGATGTTGACAAGGGAAAAACATGTAAGTAAAGCCCTTGGAGTTTTTGCAAAGAATGATTATGATGCCTGTCTCCATGTTCCAAAACCTCCAGGGTACAATCAAATAGCCCCCCTTACCCTAAGTGCCAAACAGGCATCCATGCAGATGGTATTGGACTGTATGAGCACCTGGCTGAAGAATAGAATTCTCTCATCTCACATAAAAGGCATACACAATAGAGACCACTGAGTGTAGAGTTGCTTTCATTTATTCTGCTGCTAATCTCTCCTGAAATAGATATAGTGTTATGGAGAAAGAATTCATCAAGCAAATTCTTTTTAACTTCTGGAGCTCGTCTCTGGGCTTGCACTATGTAATTAAGCAATTTATTATTTTGTTCCAAAATTGTATTATGGAGCTAGAAATATTAACCAACATGTTATTAGGATAGCACTGCACAAGAATAAAAATTAGATTTAGAAAGAGAAATTTTCTCCATTTTTGCCAAACATCCAGATGAAAAACTGAAAAACTGTCAGTTGTACAGATGTTCTAGATATCCAGGTGCTATGTAGAAAACAAAGAAACTTTATTGATCCTTCTGTTTAATTATACACTAGTTTTGTAGACAACGAAAATAATGTAACTTATAGGTATATATTTTAAGGTAAAAGCCAGGAAAAACATAGTAGTATTATTTTTATATTTCTCTTCAGTGTGTCTCTAGTAGAAGACTAACAATCTTTAGGGTCTTAATGAAAGAAAAACTATCCATGACAAATAAATTATAACATTGATTTGATTTCTCTTCACATTCACCTTTTCTGAATTATCAGACTCCGTACTTCCCTGGTATTCTTAAATGATAATATGCGATTTTCATTTTTTTCCTTAATATTTTCAAGTTTCCTTCCTCTCCAAACATTCACTCTAGTAGCAGCAGTGTGGGTCATTACCTGAGAGTAGGTGCATATCAGAATGAAAAGCACAAAATTTCAATGTAGCAATAAGCAAAATAAAATACCTGGTAGCAATAAGCAAAATAAAAGCAAGTACTTTTGCTTTTACCCCTACATTGTGAACTAAACCCACTGCCACTGAACAGTGCAGGAACAGCTTATGCAGTCACGATTGTATCTGTCAGCTTAGGTAGGTTCAAATATGTCTAAGGAATTGTGTCCCTCCACATTTCTTCCCTCTTACACATTTGTCATGGGCCCTCCCCATTAGATTGCCAAGCTAATGGAGTAGGCCTTATTTAAACCACCGGCTTTCTTATGACAAAACAAGGGGATGAGCAATGGTGAATTAATTACACAATAGCTCTTGAAATTTCTTCTCAGAACCACCCATGTCATTTGCATTTAAAAGTAACCAGACAAAGCAATTTATACAGCCAAACCTGATATCTCTGCGTCAAGCACAAACCTGTCAGTGGAAGGAGCCTCAAAGGACAAGGGAGGGAGGGGGAGCAAATACTTTCACCTTAGTAATTGCTTATCACAACTATCATTTTATGTATGTTTATCTGCTTAATTGTTCAGGTTACTGGTTTTGGTGTGTCAAAACTAATTGCTTACTTATGACATTTTCCCTTTATGAGACTTCTAAAATGAGAGAAACACTAATTCAGACCTTAGGAACAAAAATAGAATTGTGATGCTTTGGGTGTTCCCAGACAGCCATACAGTGTCGTGTTTCTAATCATGTATAGGCTGAGAGTGGAATCAAGTCCAGATCAAGGAACAAAAATTAGAAGGAAACTCATCTCTCAGATGAAATCGGGAGAAGATTGTGAAGGAAAGATTTATGTGAGTTGTTTGAATGGAATAGAAAAGTAATAAATAATGATAAATAATTTTTCAGTGCCTCCTTAACAACTTACACTTGATATTTTATTTAATATAAAGCATATCCACCTGTGGGAGATATCACTTCCATTGGAGGTAATGGCCTTGATTCTTGGTTCCAGTGCCTTGCCACATTTTCTGGAAGCCATTGAACCAGGATTTGGGCAATCTGTTTTACTTCTATATATTGTTGTTATAGATGTCAAAAGAAAGACAAGCAGGGAAAGCATGTAAACAGTAGACCCTATTTGGGAGGACAAGCTGGAAGAACTAGTGCTAGACTCTTCATGGAATTCTTCTGCATGAGAAAAATGAATGAAAAGAAGTTGCATGGAAGGTAACTTGTAATACTTTTATAAATGTATTCTTTGAAAATGCAATACATGTGTAATGTATTCTGAAGGAAGGTAACTTCTAGCCTTATAGAGCTCATAGTTGTGGGAGGCACAAACACTCTTAGTGTATCATTGAGTGGGATGGCATGTGGAAACAACATTGGTTTCACTCTTGGTGTACAGATCTGTGATTATTTTTTCTTTTAAACAGATCCACTGAGAAACACAGAACCATGTCTAAAACTCTGATTTAATGCACAACTACATCCTGAAAGGTGGTACCTTATACTTGTAAAGGATGCGGATCTGAAATTTCAGTCATGCCTTTTAAAGGCTATTCTAGCACTCTTGGAGGCTGGTGCTTCTGCGTCTGTGTATGTAAATTTAATGGACTTTATGGCTATGAGTCTAGTCTTGATATTGTGGTATAAGATCCATGGATAGCACTGCCATGGATGCAGTCCTATACTTTTGCTGGAAAGTTCTGGTTGGATGTTATATTTTCTAGAATACAAAGTAGGTGTTAGTTCCTAAGAGTTAAGACTGCAGAAGGAAAAAGAAGACCTGTATATTAATAGGCACTACCACTGTGATAGTGAAACCTTGACCTTTCTGTGATAGCAGGGACCAAGATATCCAATCTGCCATGGCAGCTTGATTTCATTAAGAAACAGAGCCATGTCAGGGTTTTAGAATTATAATTTATAGGCAAAAGTAATTATATTTGCCTTACAAATGGGTCTCCATGCTGATGGGACCATGAACAGCATAATTCATTGTCATTATATTCATGTACTATAATGCAAGTTCTTTGGTGGCCAATGACAAAAAAAAATAGCTAACATCCACCAGGCAAGTTATTTTGTGTACCTGCTTTCTTAATACCACTATAAAGATAGACATTTTCTACTAGTCATTCATATGAAGTGCAGAAATTCCATATTTTGTTACTACTACAAGCCTCACTTGCCTTCTCTTAAACCTCTTTCCTTCTATTATTCTAGTATATTAGTTTCCAAGCCCCTAACAATGGGTAACTCTACTGGGATCCCTGTACACTCTCATCTTGAGTTACTTCTTTTATACCCGAAAGATCATCAGATTCTTCACTCTTGTTTCTGCCCGTTCTTCCTCTTCACTGCCTTTCAAAGCCACACTTCAGTATGTCTCTAATGCTGCCACTTTCTGTGTTAGCTTTATCACTGGAGGAAGGATTTGCTTCAGCTCACAGAGATAAAGCTAACACAGAAAGGTGTGGGCCATGGTTACTTGGTTCCGTGTTCTGGGATTGTGGTGAGGTGCAACATCACGGCAGTGGGAGTGTGCCGAGGAGGGGTGTGTTTACCTCATGCAGAGAGCAGCAATGCACACATCACGAAGCAAACAGGACATCAGTCATGAGAAGGGCCAAACCAAGATGTAGCCCCAAAGGACATGCCTCCCAGGTGACTTGGCTCCTGTATCTAAGCTCCATTTTGCACTTTCCATCACTTCCTCCAGTGTACTTAAAATTTTAATCCACCAGTGGGTTAAGCCATTCATTATGACTGAATCCTCATTCTCTAATTTTTCCCCAGAAATAAGCTAAAAACATAACCAGGGGTATATTTCACAAATATCACTGGCATTTCTCAGTCAAGTTAACTTGAAAACTAAAATTAACTACAACCCTGTCCATTTTCATTAAATAATGTCTTGTCCTTGACCTGAGCTACAAGGTTCCATCAGTCCAGGGTCTAAGTATATTTTAATTATTAGTTATGAGAATCTTTTAAAAAAACCTTTACAAAATGGTATTCCTTATACTGTAGCCTACAAATTTCCTGTTTTTAGCTCTTTTCGTTTATAGTTGGATGGCCCAACTACTAGAATTCCTTATTCCAATCAAAGAGTAGGAAAATAAGGATGCTTTTCTAAGACAGCATTCAGGAACACATTATTTCAATGCACATTGCTTTTATTCTGATTTTTGAAATGTACACAAGCCCAATTCTTACTCTATGTCTTTTTATTGGTTATTTCACATTATACTGTCACCCATATTGTACATAAAGGAACATCCTGTCCATGCTTTTTATTATACAAGAGAACACAATTGGATGGTCAACAATTCATGTGATACAGGAATAGTAAGAATTAAAGATGCCAAAGGAGGGAAAAGTCTGCCATTTATATGGACCATTAGGTACAAAAATCAAAGTAGAAATTATAAGGAACCAAATTCAGATTCAACAGAAATATGTTTATAACAAAGGTATTCAAATGCAAAGCTAGGTAAAGGTACAACTGAATAGAGGCTAAAAATTGCAGTGTGCAGCAAAATGCCACTTGATGAAGTGTGCAAATGTTTTAGTAGTCAAACAACCAGGAAGGAGAAGGAGACCCTATTCCCAAACCATCTTAAGAAAACACAGCATGGTGAAAAAGGCACATACATGTTTAAAACAGAAGTAAAAAGTCATGATTACTTTATGAAATTGCATAATTTCTCTCATGGATAAGTTGGGATAACAATAATATCATCTTGCAAGACTGTATAAAGACCCAATATATAGTTAAAATATGTGAATATGTGTCTAATAAAAAGGCCACTACACAGCTGTGGTTAATGAAATTGCTTACTATATCTGATTTTACATAGTTAAGCTTTATGAAGCTGTCAACCTTTGACCTTTTTA